TTTTCTTAGGATTTGATCAAGATTTGCTTTAGGATTTAGGATTTTATTTGAGTTTGTTTAGGATTTAAGATTTAATAAGTTTTTGGCCTAAAGTTTGAATGAAGTCCAATAAGATTTCAACTAAGATTAAATTAAGATTGAATTGAGATGTATTTGAGATATGTTTTTAATCATTTTAATATTTCTTTAAGATTTCTTATTATTTCTTTGGAACTCCTTTGAGGTTTCTTTGAATTTGATTAAAGCTTGTTTAACATTGTTAGCGTTTTATTAGAATTAAGATTTTGTTGTTGCAATTTCCATTCTACCTTCCACAGCCAGGTGCTCGGAGCATTTTCAAGTAAGACTTCACGTATTACAACATATTTGGTGAATCCGATGTGAAAAGCTTGAGGTGGAAGATATTTGATTATCTTGGATTATTTGAACTATGGAAAAAAAAAAAAAAAAAAAAAAAAAAAAAAAAATGAAAGAAGAGCTTCGAGTGGTTCGTGAATTAGAGCTTTTGAATTTTTGGAGCTTTGGATACTATCTTAATATACAATGGCAATATTTGGATTATCATGAAGTATTATAAGGCTTTATAGATATGTTGGAGCATTCTCAAGTAAGATTTCATGTATTATGACACCGCATGGTCCCTATTATATTTAGAGAAATTCATTTTCCGACACATTATCTTCTTTGGTAATTGTGCTCCTTATTTTTTAATTACGTTGCTTCTTTAGACAATATTGAGTAGTGTGCTTAGCTTCTCTACAATATAAACACAACCCCTCTTAGCGACGTCGAATCTTTTCTTGCTTTGTGAGAGGTTTAAAATGTATCATATCAATTTGCATTGGTTCTAGTATTGACGAATATGTTTCAAAAAACTTGGAAGTTACTGCCATTACTTGACTTGTTCCTCTCCAACCAAATCTTTGTTCTTGATGCCTTTCAAATGAATGATTATCGCATGCAATGACTTGAGTAATAAATTATTCTAAAGATTCTACTTTTGGCATTGTTTATAATAAATCTTTAACGCTATCCTTTAATCCATATCAAAATTGGTTGATAAGTGCTTCATCGTTCCAATCCATACCACAAGCGAGGTTTTAGAATTTGGCACCATATATAGTGGCTGATCGTGATCCTTGCCATAAGGATAAAAACTTGGTCTCTATTACTTGTTCTCAATCACTTTCTCCAAATGTGGCTGTAAACACTTCTAGGAATGAATTCAAATCATAAAAGAATCGTGAATCTTTTTCCATTAAAGGTATAAATCAAGAGAGAGTACTTCTTGATAGTATTGTGCCTATGAATCCGACTTGGGTAAATCCATTAGGATATTGGAAATGATGCAACCTTAGATAGAGCTTGAGTTGTTGCAAAAATCGTCAAATTTTTTTATCTTGTTCCATCAAACTTCTCAGGCATACTAATCCTTGTCCCTGTCATACTTGTAAAAGCAAAACTCCCTGGATTTGGTTGTGATCTTGATCTACTTGCTTCTTTCAACTGCACAACTTCTTATCGCAGACTCTGAACTTCTTCCATAGGCATAGGCATAGTACTTCTATGATTATTGTTGGAAATACATGAGATTTCTACTCTTAGAGTATTGACAAGCTTATAAAGATCTGCCATAGGTGCAAATCTATTCTCACTTTCGTTGAGAGTAGCATCTATAATCTTTCCTTCCATAGACAACTCAAATAAATTCAAAAGTCAAATTAAAGGAGGATAATCTGCAACCTCTAAAAATAAATCCCACAAAGAGGGATAATCCACTCTCTTTAAGAAAAAGATCAGTGTTAGAAAACAAGATTTTTTGTTTAAAAGTGGATAGTCTACAACCTTCAAAATACAACAATAGAAGTAGGATAATCCACTCACTTTTGAAACAAGACAAAAACAATATGTTAGCACTCTTGTCAAACTGTCAAAGACATGAATCTCAAACAAAGAGAATCCTCAATACACTCTTCTATCACTAAAGAGAACTAAAAAGTCACTCAAAAGGTGATGTAATATTAACTAGATTGGCTATTGCCAAAAAATAAGAAGATTAGAAAGTCTTGAAATAAGACTAAGACTAGAAAGGCATTGACAAGAGTGAAGAAGGCTTCACTCTTGTCTCCATATATACTATCTAACTAAGAGCTACATGGCGATGTCCAATAGGACCTCCAACATGTGTTGACTTTACTAGCCACATGACTTATCTTGCAAGGCAAATTATCTATGTATGCGCCACATAGTTAGCTTGTTCCACAAGCTACTATATAGAGATTACTTGTTCCACAAGCTACTAATACATGGTTAGCTTTTTGACCAAGTTTCTAACCTACAAATACATCTAAAATCAAAACCACGTCAATGAAGCTTCTAGAAATCTTCTCTAGAAGATTTTATGAAATTATTCTATATTTACATACTTTTACTTAATCATATAAATAACTATTGAGATAAATGTATATGTCCATGACAGTGCATGTTACAATAAATCTATAGTATTTAACCTCTTTTCTTCTAGTAATGCTTTTTTAGGCTAAGAAAACCTTCATAACTATAAGAAAAAATATCCTAAGAAACTATTCTACGAACCAAAAGTGAAAAGAAGAACCTTAGACAATGTTGTAAATTCATTCTTATAATTAAAGGTGATTGAAGAAAATAATTCCAAAATTGAGTCAATAGACCTAAGCTTATTTAAAATGTAATGTCTCTCTTGTTACTACAATTTTTAAGCTCAAATTTAGAATGATAATAGCCAACTTGGTTGTGCATTTCATCTAATTTTTGATTTGGCAAAAATATTAATATTCTTTTAGATATGGCTTCTCAATTTTTTTTGTTTTATTAATTGACTTTGTTTTGAGAGTCAATGTATACATTCTGACATATGTTTGATTGTATTTTTTATATCTATTTTAAAATAAAAGCTTCCTCTACTAATATTATTTCTTACATAATAGTATGTTTGATGTCCATATAAAGTAGTTCTAGCAATGATTTAAATTCGTATTTATGTGGATATATCTAAAGAAATATATTTTGATTATATGACTAGACAAACAATTTATCTTTACTTATACAATGTCATTTATTTATATGGTCCTTGTTTTAATGTGAATAAAAAAGCCAACATAACTATGTGCATAACTTATAGGAGATGACTCACCTAGTAATAATTATATAGATTGCATCTTGTTTTTTTCTTCAAAAAGACATGAATACATAAGACATTGTTTTAACTTCTTCTAATGACGTTAGTATTATACTCTCCACATTAAAATGCTTATTCTTCACAAATATTTGACTATGTCTTCTTCCAATGTCATTAGCATTATACTCTCCATATTAAAACTCTTATTCTTCACAAATATTCGATTGTCTCTTCTTCCGAAAGTATATTTTTTCTCAATTTAAAGAAATACATACTCAAATAAAAAATTTAAATAATAAAATAATAAAAAAAATTTAACCACCACTTTAATTCTATATACACCACTTCTACTTTTGCACTAGTACTCTTACAATCAAGCAGATCTAAAGTAATTCTAGATTAAGCTAAAAATATCCCTACTTATTCAAATCTATAAAATATAGAATATTATACTTTTTTCTACTACAACTAATTTGTTTACTTTATCAATGAGTTGGATATTTTCAATTTTTGTGAATTTTCAAGAGTTTGTGAGTTAGTTTGGATGCAAGAGCTCAGAGAGATTGGATTTTTTTATTTTTTTCATATATTTTTATTTTTTTGTATAGTTAGGTAGAAGTTTTCTAAGTTTTATTTATAAAAGTGTCAATTAAGTGAATTACATGATCTTTATACTTTAAAGTCTACTTTAAAAAGCTATGATATAAAAGCCTTACTAAGGTCTCTACTATCTTAAGTAAAACACTTCTATAAAAATCTTATTCTTTGTATATTGTATAGAATGAAAAGAAGCTATGAAATTGACCAATTTTATTTTTACTAATAGTCTAGATATGTTAGCCTATATCTTGATTTTAACAATTATGAAAATATAAATTATTGTTTGTTATTTATTATATTTATGTTTATGAATTAATAATATAATTTTTTAGATTATTGTAAAGATTGATTCTTAAGGTGGATCTATTTCAAATCCTCAAAAATAACACTATTTACACTAGATAAAATAGAAGGTGCATTCTACCTCAAACTTTCTTCTTAAGATATTTAAATTGATTTTTTGAAGTAAAAAGACATCAAGTGACACTTTTCAATATGTACCTATCAAAGGATTTAAAAGTTGTCACCCCTCGTTGGCTTTTCTAAATATAAAGACTTTACATAAAAAGTATTTTCTACTATTTTAATAATTTTAAGACAAATGCATCAAACATACAATCCAAAACTATGTAAGAATCCAAAATTTAAATCATCTAATATAAGCACACACACACACACACACACACACATATATATATATATATCTGTATATATATACTTATAAATATAATTTTTACATGCATGTTTTTATTTATTTTATATTCTTTTTAATATCTACGAAAGAATTGGCCTTTAGGTTTTCTTATTGTATTTTTTTTTTATTTGAATGTTTTCAAAAATATTATTTAAAGACTACATCACAAAGAACGTTATTTATTTTAAATTTGCTTTAACAACATAATGTCCACCCATACAACATGGTTTGATGGTCACAAGCAAAGCCTGGTTTTCAAGCTTTCGTGTTCGAACGTGCACAAACACATAAAATAACCATGTGGAAATGGTTTGAATATGCAGTTTACAGAAATGAGAAATCCAGGAAACACCCAGTTTTTTCATGAACGGAGATCCAAAGTCATCTATGTATTAAGAGTGCGAATTCCTAGTGCAACACCAACAATAGTACAACCTGAGGAACTTGGTTTGAAAGCCAGTATTACGAACTGTAGTTCAGTAACTACAATTAGACAAGACAAGGCATACAGTTGGACGTACAAGCAATCCTGCAATGTGGTAGACATTCTGTGAACAATAGTATAATATATTGTGAATAAAATGCAGATGCCCAGAAGCAACACTGCAAATTCTACCAGCAGCGAGAATGATCCGTTAGCAAGAGTAAGCCAAGAGCTACCGTTAGATGAGATACATATTGACTAAGTGGTGCTCGAAGAACTGGAAACTGTAGTCAAGCAATACATATGAACAATGCCGTCTTGTCAGTCAGCTTTCATAGGTGAAGGTTCAGTGGAAGGAAAGGAAAAGCACGGATGAGGACTAGAAAGTTGAGCATTGCGAAGAAACCCAAAAAACTCTGGTTAAGTTGCACATTTGACCATGTTGCTATCAACTACAAGCCATGCAAAATCGAAGTCTTCAGATTGAACTTCGGCAGATTCAGACATGTCCTCTCACCATTCTAGAAGTTGTCAAACGTGCTCACTTCATGCAGATTGTGTACAGACCTGTGAGTAGGCATCTCATTCACGATTATGTGCATATGCACCCAGCACTTTCAGATTCCACGTCCTGATCCGGCATAGCATAGGGGGCGATCTCAAACTATTCGGGAACGGATGACTAATTGATACAGATATTTCGAATTAAGCCGTAGTGCTGTAGACAATCACGTGATCTTGCCTTGCAGAACAAGCGATGCCCGCGTTATAACACGTGCACAACGGAATATTTCATGCTGCACTGCCGCCCACTTCGCTGTGTTTGCAGTATCGTTGCTGCTTTCTGTGGCCTGGTGAAAAGCGTCCCAGATGCCTGGGAAAGAAAGCGACCCATAGTTGTTGTTTGCAACACGTCCATATACCTGAAAACAACATATAATGAATAAGATGCAGTCTTCGAAGTACAAATTTCCATTGCCCTGTCGAGAACTTCAATGACCAATTTCAGTAGTTAAGTGAACCCGTTCTCACTGCCAACATATGAAAATGTTACAGTCGTGGACCATTTAAGCCCATTCCATTCTAACTACTTCCTGAACACTTAGGTTCCAAGTGAGGAGGAATACCAGATGCTTGTACCAAGATGCACCAGAAAGTCCATCACTGTCGAGAAACGCACGCTCTGCCCGCAGTAAGCGGTCGTTGAGTCCGCGCCGACGATACAGAATCCCCGAAGACAGTCCTGATTGCATTTGCATCCCTTCCTGCTTTAAGGCCTACACAAAAGTAAAATGTCGTGATCAAAGCGTCGCACCTTCTGTGATACAATTTTACGAAACTACAACCCGGACACCGCACCATATCCAAAATATAGTTGTGTCTCTAACTACAAGGCATGAATGCAAAATTACCTCGACTTCCTGAGCCAATTGGTGAGTCGAGGCTTGTAGGCCCTTGATAGACGAGAAAAGAGGTGCAATAGAAACACTTTCTGGAGCATTCGAAGATAAAAACTCAGAGTTTATTTCAAGGGCATATGAATGAAGCTCTTTCGCATAAGCCTCATACTTCATAGGCAGGATTTCGTCATCCGCAAGCCGCAAGGCTAATAATCCCCACACACTTGTCACTGCATAATGAAAATGCCACACCAGCTTCCCAATCTCATTTTCATGTATAAACCCCGCAGTTAAAGTGAACCAAAAAGTACAATTTGCAAGAGTTGTTGAATCAAGCGTGTTGCCGATGATCTTAAATGCACCAAATAAAATGAAGGGAATTCTCTTACCAGCCACGTGACGATGAAACAATGGATCACCGAACTTGGTCATCCAATTGTAGTTGTCAAAGGTACTATGGTACACAGGATAATCTGCACGTTTACACAACACGGGCTAAAGCCCTAAGAACACTAAGACAGTAGGATCATGCCAAAACTTAGAACATGTGATTGTCCAGAAAAGAAGTGAGTTGAGATATATCACGGAATACGTTTCAAACTGAAGATACTTACCAGCAGCAAAGAAAATATCCGTAGATGGCACGCCTGCATGCTGTAAAAAGGCTGCAAAATCTGAGCCCCCGCCACCTAACCTATCAATCTGAAACACGCATCTTCTTGTCAGGCTTCACATTTCAAAAGAGAAACCGAGCTCTACTTCTGAGAACAAGGGTTTGTACCAAATTGCTTTTGTTCTGTGCAAGTACCAAGCTACAGATGGTAATGAAGAATGAAGCCACGGCAACAGGACCCCAAATCAGTAGTAATGAAAATGAGAGATCTTAAGTGGGAAGTACGATCAGGATCCTCTCATTATCAAAACATACATATTCTACCATCCCCATAGTATCTATGCCTCAGATTCAACATGAAGTAAACAATTAGAAATAACTCAGTAGAAATTCACGTACAAAGGGGTTACTCTTGTTGCTTGAGACCACCCATGACTCGTACAAGCTCTGGTCGTCGTCATCTGGGTCTGTCACCTGGCGAACCATATGATCACAAATTGATAAATATAAAGAATTTCAGAAACAAACCACAATGAAGTATATATTGTTGCACTAGAAACACCATGGACAATTTGAACATGACAATTACTGCTTTCACAGGTAGCAGGACAACGGATTGTGACAAGCTAAGTAATCCGACAAAACTCTGTGATGCTACCGCTGCAATAAACACTTTTCACCACATAAGCTATTCGGTTTCTCATTCAGTGCCGAGATCTGCAAGCAGGTATACACTGAAACGATCATCCATACTTTGCACAAACCTGCTTTGTAATTTCTATTAGTAGGTCGTCAAGCTGCGGAGAGGCTGCTGCATTAAAACCTGGCCCAGCCACAGCGCAATCTACATTCATGTATGCAACTGCGCTCGCATCGAGAACATCAATGTTTTGCTCCACCCATTCAGTTGACCCTATCTGTCGACACCGTTCAATCCTGGTCAAAATTTAGTTCAATATTGTTCACTATTTTTATGGATATTGAATGCTGATTCATAATATTATGAGGATGACAATAACGCAAATGCAAGGGACATGGTAGGTTTCAACAAGAGCAGGACAGTGCAGACCATGCTGTATTCTTCAGCATCCCAGCTGCACAGCACAATGCTCCTATGAGGACGCCAACCTTGCTCCATAAGCTTTCCAAATCCCCTGGCCAGCTGCACATATTTCACGCTACTGATAAGGCAAAAATTGCTTTATCTTAACTAACAGTGCAACACACTAGCATACAATACCCGTCCTTAGAGACAAACTCCAAACGTTAAGGGTCAGGTGTAATCTGAAACAATCATGCAACCATAGCATCTCACAACTGCGTGCATCCAACACGCGTCTGATAGAAGGGCTTACTCATTACCTCTAAGAGTGTCGCTGTGCCACTGTTCGGATCCACAGCTCCAAACGTCCATGCGTCGCGGTGATTACCGAGCAGTACCAACCTGAACCATCAAATACGGTTCTATCAACATCACTGCACCAACGAAAATTGACTGCAGACATTGCAGTTCAGTCATGAACCACCAGATTCGATATATAAGTCTAAAAGAAAAAAAACGAATTAAGTTAATATCTACAGCCCCACTGATATTTGTTTACCACGGGGAATGTTATGAAAGAGAGAAAATTGTGCACATTCAAGACCTGTCGGGCTCTTGTGACCCCACGATTGTAGCAAAAACATTACGAATGGGAGTCACCGTCTGGTTGGCCTGCATACAACAGCCGGCCCAATAGAACTAGTCGTATTCAGTGAATGCATACCACCTGGGAACTGAAAAAAGAATGATAAAGATTTCAAGAAAAAGTCATTGTCGTTGCATTAAATATGGTCTATAACTGCCCGCCGATTTCACGATATAGAGAAAAGTAAGAACAAGTTAAGATGGTGATTTCAAGTAAGGGATGATTCACATTGCAATACACGCGAGTACTTTACCACATACGAGAGGTCAAGTCTCCCTGGACCACGGCCCAACTTGTATTCTGATAACTCAAGACCTCCTTGCCACTCAATCGGAGCTACCGGACCACCCAAGGACCTTAAAATTGGGAGAGCATCTTCGGCAGAGATTGGCATTGATGGGATTCGAGGCAACTGGGCAGCAGGGTCATCCACAGATAATCTTTCAGCGCCTGATTCGCTCGCCCAACCTGGCGTCTGGGGGTCACCAATTCCTCTAAACACGGAGCCTCGCTGCACACCACTTGGAGGTAACCATTGCGAAGAAGGATAGTACCCTTGAGTAGCGTTGTTTCCATAATCCAGAGGATCAGAGTAAATCACAACTGCGACAGCTCCTGCTTGTGCTGCATTCTCAACAATGTCCCCGCGATATATCTTAGCATATTTCGCAATAACGATAGCCCCCTCAACCTTTAAACCGAGCTGGGCAAGTTTCTGGAAATCCTCTCGACGCCCGTAGTTGGCATACACGACCTCAGCGGAAGCATTTCCCGACGGGGCGTATGCATGAAAAGTTGGGATAATATTTGACCTATTGCTGTATGGATCACCAGCAACAGCTTTTTCTTTCAGAGAGAATTTAATTGGTTCATGGTCCGGCTGTGTGAGCACCAACAATCGATGCAAAGGGTAAGTCAATAGTACGTCGTAATCCTTGTGATGCGCATCCAGGCCATAGGCCTTAAAAGTATACTCTACATACTCAGCTGTCTTGAAATTCTCCGCAGTACCGGCCACATGAGGTTCCTTGGTGATTTCCTTCAAGTGATTACTGATGCTGTTGTTGTCAATGGACTGAACAAACATATGTTGCCAACTCTCCTTCTGCAACACACAGATCAGGACCACTAAGATTAACATTCTAACAATACAACTGATCACTTTCAAACACACACCAGTCGTCATATTTTGCAATTGTATCTTGTCCAAAAGAATTATACCTCGACACTGTCTCAACAAAGAGTTCTATTCCTAAACCTTTTAGGAAAACATGTATGGGAAACTGGATTCGGGTAGCTACCAAATGCCGCACAATTGAGAGGGCGCCGCAATCCACGCGGCCGACTGCCAAGATCTTCTTTTAACTATATGTAGGGCTGAAAGAGCTACTGTGGAGAATCTTTCGTATTGACCGATTACCAGACTACTGATGCTCATGCATCATGCCTTTCGACTTGACAGAAAGTTCATATCCTCGTCCGTCTATACCAGTATAGTACTGGTGCCAGAGAACGTCTACTCTCACATGTTTACTTATGATTAACAAAGATTGAAGTCATGGAATAAAAGGACTTACATGAGAAGGGGCTGGCCGGAAATCCAGGAATAAATGCATAACAAGGACGATAAGCACAGTCATTGCTAGGGCGGCCGCCAAACAGAAGGCTCCATTCCTGCAGGCTTTGAATGAACCGCACGTGGGAGGCGAGGGAGATCTGTCCGTCCGCAAAGGCGCCGCCTCTCCGCCATCGTCATCTTCACCTGATCCTGATGATCGACTCAACCGCTGCAGCGGTCCAGGCAGTGTCCGGAGCACCAAGCACTGCACCCACCAGCTGAGCGGCTGCATTGCGGTGGCCGATTTCAGGAGCCTTTACTTATGCACTTCAACCTAGAGGGTGGGCGCACACGAAAGAGAAGCTACTACGGAAAGCAATCGAAACTTTTAAATTCATGAGGCGATTTCGTGCTAAATTGACTCCTACTTCGCAGAATGAATTATCAAGAGGAATTCTTACGAGGATTGGACACACTCAGAGTGGAAAATTACAGGGGAAATATTTGCAAGCGCATTGGGCGCTGAAACTGTGCCAAGCTACAAGGAGCGGAACTACAATTTCACCAATTTCTGCTGGTCGGACCATCCACGATTAGACATCTCGAGTGAGGAGGAATTCGATAACAATCACTGAAGAGCCGAAATACCCCTAGGTACGTTAAGGTTGCTCCTCCTCCACCCACTGAAATCAGAAAGAAACATCCCTCGACCGCGAAAAGTCCTGGAAGAAAAAAGCAAAAACCCCAAAAACCAAAAAAAAAAAAAAAAAAAAAAAAAAAAAAAAAAAGGTATTGGAGAGCTATTCAGAGGTGATGCAATAGGTTTACTCTGTTGTCATACTCCTCCCACGCGAAGTGGTAAGCCCCATGTCAGTTTAACACTCTTCGTTTCAAAAATGAACAGCTTTAGCAAAAAGAACGCAACCGACGCTGATCGTGGCGACCACCTTGATCAAAAGAAGCTACCGATAAACACACTTCACACAGACATAGCAGCACTACCAACACCGGATGGTTATCCACTAACTTCCTGGTACGAATCCAGAAACCAGTAAACCGCGTTGAAAATTCGCCCCAACATCTTCAGCAAGAATATCCACACCTCCAAAACAACTCCAAACTGCACCGACCACACACACGAACCGCATCGACGTTAACACCAATGCAGCTGGGGTAGCAGCAGCAGCAAGGAGCCGCTCTCGCCTAACACCGAAAGCGCAAAACAGTCCGCAAAATATGGCTAATTAAATCCACATGCTTCTCTGATCACCATTACGGCAACCTTGAAATGAATCACCTCGCTCGCCGTAACTCCAAAAGAGTGAAACACATGATCCTCCAGTGTAGTGTCGACATACGCAACTCCTAGCTGTCCATTGACGCCGTAGGACGACGATGACGACGATGACGACGATGCGATTGCGATTGACGATGCTTTGTTTTTCTCTCTCTCACTCATCCTCTCCCTCTCTCCCAATCACTCTTCTTGTTGGGCATGGAGACAGACGCGCACCTCACCATCCTCCCCTTTCACTTTCTATTTTTGTAATCCTTTACCCCCTCGTCGATTCTTCCAATTCTCCAGAACTCCCTGAAACTTTCGAAATTTCGGTAAAAACAAATCCGCCAAGATGACGGGGGGCCCAGCTTTTCTTCCGCAGAGACGGGACCCACTGACGCCTCCAGAGAGAAGAAAAACAAAAAAACTACGAAAATTAAAAACACAAAAACAAAAACAAAACAAAGTCCTGAGAAATTCACCACAACGCCTGCGCAGCAACGGAGATCGTTCTGCAGGCTAGGACACAGAGAATCGTGAGGGGATTCCCCTCCAGTAGCATTCGGCACCGAAATGGGCACGGCCTTCAATAGCAGCCAAACTGGGGGCGATTCAGTTAGGAGTTATGAGTGGCACAGATTTGACTTGGACACTGTAAAATATCATACAAATGGGCTGCGATCATGTCAGAGATTATGCTGCTGGCTTGGCAAAGACGGCAATTTAACAGCTTTCGGCACTGAAGTGGCCCCCCCCCCCCCCCCGCCTCAATTCCATCTAACTAAGCTTGTGCCCTCTCGTCGATCCGTCTTATCCCTCCTCGCCTACGCCCCCCCTCGTATATATATATTGTTTTGTTACTATGTCTCAAAGTTGACGTGCTTATTTACTTTTAAGTATCTTGCACTTATAAGTATATTGTAGTAGAATAATGTTTATGAGGTTTTTGCTTTTGATATCTGTAATGTAAACCTTGTGACATAGCCTTTTAAAACAGTTGTTGAAATCTTTATTCTAACATCTCTAAGTCCTAAATAAAAATCACGTTATGTACTTTCTTTGTACCACTTATATTTATATGTATGTCTTCAAAATATTTTATTAAGGGTAAGAGCCCTAATTTGGAAAGTAATTTGTATTTTATATCTATAAGGAAAATATCATGGTTGCATAAGCATATGTAAAGACTATTCTGATTATTACTTTTTTCTTTACCTCACCAAAAAAATAATATCAATTTCATTTTAAGAAATAAGTCATTTTAAAAGAATCCACAAATTTCTCCTTCTTTTTCCTTCTTTCTTTATTCCTTTTTTTAAAATAAAAAATTGTATAATTTTATATCAAACATATCTTATTGTAGTTTTCTTTGCAATTGTTTGAATATCCTTTTCGGTGCCTTAAAAGTGATTTTAAAACTTTACTATTCTCTCCTTTGATAACAAGGCCTTACATAGCTTACTACAATGTGTAAAAAGTTTATAAAAGGTCTACATGGGATATAGTTCCATTAAGATCTTTATAGCAAGAATTTTTCCAAGACATTTGGAGTCTCAAATCATTAGCAAACCTTGGCCCGTTTTGAGGAATTTAAGGAAGAAAGAATCTTCTTGTAAATTTTTGAAAAGGATTTGATTGCTCATTCCAATATTCTAGAGAAATCCCAAGGGAATATATATATATATATATATATTGTGTGGACAAGCAATCCAAATGTATAAACTCTAATCATTACTCACTCACATAAAAAAACATCTCACATAAACTTAAATTAGAAATATAATACAATGAATTGAAGATAAAAATGCAATCTTGACTTTTAAAAGGACTTGTTTGGGTATACAATTCATCATTTTTATTATTTTTCTCATACATAACATCCAACCTTTTTACATGCACAAATACAACAAAATGCTTTACACAATAATGGTTGATTAAATATAAATCGTCTACAATTGAACTTTATCAATTCTAAACCCATGTCATTACAAAAGAAATAATATTGTATCGATTATGAAAATAATAATAACATCAATAATAATAATAATAATAATAATAATTTGATAGTGCATTCACATTGCGCATTGTACATAGATGGGATGCACACAAAAAGGAGGCCATTTTCTTAGGTGCCAAAATCACAACGTAATATTGTTCGAGCTTACCAAGTTGCCTTGTCACGCACATCCAAATACAGACCCATCCATTCGCACATTCATCCACATTTATTCATCCATAAATGTCCTTCCGAGGAATCATTGGAAGCATGTGTGCGTGGGAGCATATCCATCTGGGGATGGGGCCTTTCAAATAGTGTGGGGAGCTGCTGTGTTAGGGTACAATGGGTACCACCATGTTAGCGCACTCTAGTTGGCTCCCTTGTCCAGCCCATCCATAAATATGCTCAATTCTCGCTTCCAACAATGATCCAACACATGGAACACATAATTGTTGTACAATTTGTTAATAAAATAAAAGAGGTGGCTCCTTTGAGTGTATCGTTAGTATTTGTTAGGTAACACTAATTCTTTTAAAGTAAAGAATGAAAGTAAGAAAGTAAGAAAGTTGGAATTGACTATGGTTGCTTGCAACCCAACTACGTCATGAGAGTGGGTATTTGATTCAGAAGAATAAACAGCATTTTGCTTCATTTCAAAAGTGAAAAATTCATGGAGGTTTTTGATAGAGTATGGTAAAACAAAAAAAAAGTTTTTAATAAAGAGAAATAAAAATACTAGTTGCATTGAACATTTCACAATCCAACCAAGATTCAACTAAAGGTCCAATTGTCATATGATTTTGTTGCCATTATTCTTTTTCTTATTCTTTTTCTTATTCTGTACCTGTATTGGCAATTAATGACCAATTAATGGTTTATTTATTGATTTATTTTAAGTTTCTGAAATAGCACAAATGCATTTGTGAATAATTTTGTTTTTCTATAATTTAAAATGGATTACAGATTGCAGATATTTTAACAAAATTAAATTCTCTAACTGAATAAGAAGTAATCCAATTTCAACAAATATCTAGTTATCTAATATCATATCATTTTGTTTTCCATCCCCCACTTGACTAAACAACCAAGTGATAAAAATTCTTTTGCTTTTCAAATGACTTCTTAGCAGTAAAAAATGTGACACAAAGTAATTTTATATTTAAGATTGATTGTTAAGTAATTGTGTCTATAATAGAATATTTAATTTAAAAAATTGTAAAAACCCTTACTAAAAAAAACCTTTGAAATTCTCCCTCTTATGTCACTTTTACAATCTCTTGCTTCAAAATATGCTCACTAATCTAGCACATTTCTTTGTTGTGTGTAATTAAAACTTTGGGTGGTGTAAAATTTTGAGTTTGTGATATATATATCTATATATATATATATATATATATAATTGGAAGTAGTTATGGTATACAAGTCTTTAACAATCTAAAAAGCCAACAAATTTCTTTAAATTTAATTTTTGCATTTGTTTTTGAAGAGTTAATTATTATTCATTTTGTATGTATAATTTTTGTTAAACATATTTTAATTAAAAAGTTAAGTATGATTTTTAAAAGAGGACAAAGACGCAATTAAATAATATTAACAATTCTAGATATTAGCACAATGAATATTTTGGAATTAGTGTAGAGACTTTGCTGGAGACACTTTGAGAGATAGTTAGGAATTAAGTGTTAAGAATATTTTGGAATATTTTGGACCAACTTCAAAGTGTTTTGTTAGTCAATGTTGCTTGTGACAAATAGCTAAAGATCTTATTAACAATGTCACATGGTAGATGTGATCTTAATTTTAAAATACATTGAATTCAATCATTTAATTTTATGTCCTAACATTGATAAATTTCTTCACTTACTGATTTGTTTTGACTATTGACTATTATGGATAAAAAATTAAAAATAACATTTTGTAATTAAAAAGATAACTATTGTGTATAATAGCAAATTTTGTTCTACATTAGTATATACGATTTTTTTTTCTTTTCATTTTTTATAGTTTTATACTTTTATTGTGGACAAAAATAATATCATATTATTTTTATATACAATAATATGGCTAAATATTCAATATAGTATCAAACATAGGAAATTGTAACTTAATGTTTGTGTGTTGTTTTGAAAAGGTATGTAAGGCTAGAATTATTTACTATTGCTTCCTATGCAATTTTCTTATTTTAATATCTATAGAGTTATATTTTATACCAAAAACATTATTTTTTTAATTTTAAGATACAATTATTTTAAAATTTTGAAATGTACTTGTGTATATTAACAAAATTTGTTTTAAAGAAATAAAGAATTTTTTACCTTAATAGAAAATCAATTACAATGTATTATAAAAAATCATATTACATAATAAATAGTTATTTTTTTCTTAAAGTAGAATTTTTGACAAGTCAAGTATGTAATTATATCTAAGAAAAATACTTTTAAAAATTTCTCTAATGGCAATAAAAGTTTATCATAAAATTTATAAATTAGGTTGCTACAACATATGACTAAATTATAATAATGGTATTGAAAAAATCCATTTAAAATAATTATATATGCATAAGATGATATATATATATATATATATATATATATATATATATATATATAATATTATCTACAATTAATAGACCTAGTAGTCATATATAATAAAAATTATTCTTTATGACTATAAGATTAGTATTCTAACTACAAAACTAAACATACATTTATTTTGTTGATGATTGTAAAAATACTTTTCGATGTCTTTGAACTGAATAAAGATTTTTTTTTTCTTCTTGAATCTTTGTTGTGAAAACAAATCTATATGATTGACATGTTTTAATAGTTTGTATATTCCAATTGTGCTTATATAAGCAATGCATAGACATTAATAGTATTAATGTTGGTCTTATAACTATGTAAATTATTATTGTTTGTCTCTTATGCATCTTTGTTGTATATAATATGGAAAAATGGCCTAAAATTATGAATTTTTTCCTAAGTATATATTTTGAATAAAAATGAATACACTTGGTCATATAAAAATTACTATTATTATTATTATTATTATTATTATTATTTTAATGCTAGTCCATGCTAAGCCTACTAATAAATCTTTTGTAATTTTAAAACTCTATTTTGTAACTTAATTAATTATTTTTTAATTATTATTGAAGTTATAGCTTATAAGATAAATTTAAAAATTAAATTCTTTATATAAATGATTTAACAAGTCAATCAATAGGTTTCTATATCTTAACATTGTACAATAGAAACTTATTTGTACCAATATAATTATTTTTTTAGAAGAATTATTTAATATTATTTAAATATTTATTTAACTTTCATATTTTTTTTTCTAGGAATTCTAAAATTTCGTGAGATTTTTTTTTTAAATATAGAAGTCATGTTAATAGAATATCATTTTTATATCTTTTATGCTTAGTTTAATGAATTTACTCTTAAAAATAATACTCTAGGCTATATTAGAAACTATGTTTGTATAAATTGAAAAAGTATATATTGATAAGCAATTTAATTTTATTATCATCCTAATATCAAATATCTAAATACCAAAAAAGATCTTTATAATATATGATATAACTTAAATATAACTATGTTGCATAAATTCTAAATTTAAGATATGATATCTTCAATGTTAAAAGACCAAATTCAAGAATATTACTATTAATAGTTCATTATTATCTTTTCAGTAAAATAATTCTTAAATGTTTGAATTAGTGTGTTTATGTGGTGTATGCACAATAAAAGCATTAAATATCAAACTTAGGTCACTATACATCAAGGTCAATTTTAAAGTCAATGATATCAAGTATTAAACATTGAAGGATATTGACAATGTTTTCAGGATAATAAAAAGAATATTTTTTTTTTCTTGTGGTTAATTTTTATGTACATTCATTTAGAATTATTATCTAATTTTGATTAATCAACTAAGGTTACTGTCCTAAATCTTATAGAATTTATATAATTATATTTGGATAATTTATTAATCACACAATGAAGTCTTTTATGCTTCTTATTACTTATAGATTACATCATTAATGAATATTATAGCTAATATGTATTAAAAGGCTATTTATGTATGTATGTATGTATGTATGTATGTATGTATGTATATATATAAACCATATATATATATATATATATATATATATATATATATAAATAAACCATGTATATATACCATTTTAAAGTTATAAATGTGAAATATTATTTTACTTGTATTACAATTTTAATGGGTTTGTTTAGTAGTCTTTTACATGTTTATAAGCTTTAGATTTTAAAAACATTTCTAATAAGTTTATACAAGTTCTTTTAAATAAATACAATGCTAGCATTAGTTTGGTAAATTATTGCTATCAAAGAGTCCATAGAAGTTTCATCTAGCTAACTTACTAGGTTTGAAGCTAAGTTTACCAAATCAATAAGCACCATAATAGGTAAGACACTTCATCTTATATATCAAAAAAGAAGAAATCACAAGTATATTTGGAATAATATAATAATGTAATCGAAAAAATAAAATAAAAATAACTACAAAAATTTATATCATAAGTAAAATACTTGGAGATACTAAAAATATTTTTAAAATTTTTAATAATAGAATTGATAAAGAAAATGAATAAATTCACATTTCAAGTGAAAAACTTGAAGATGGGTGATAAAATGCCAAATTTGTTTAAAAGACAACACTTTCTTGTTTTGTCAATAGTGATGTTTTGATGGGAATCCAATAATTTACACAATACACCAACTGATTTCTATCAAAACTACTTTAAATATAGTATTATCTTGTACTAAGTCCTATTCTATGTCCAAAGTGCTTAAGCCTTTGGTTGAATATATTATATAGTTGTTTTATTGTAAATCCATGCTCCATCTTTTGAAACAATGAAGCTCAAACCATTCTAGACCTACCTAGCACAAGCACCATGCACAAATAGAAGCGACCTTTATGTGAAGTGTTTACCATAAAGCAGTTACAGTCAATGATTGAAGGGGCAAAATTAACCCCAATATAGACACATCATGTCCATTCTACCCCAATACCCTAGAGACTGTCTTGTATAGGTTCTGTGATTGTCTAAAGGCAATGCATACATGGCAGTGGTGTGGCTTTCTTCTTCAAGCTTTAGAAAGGAAGCCAAGTACTCCAGTGAATCCATTCACATTTGGTTAGCGGCAATGCTTATTCTCCAAATCTCTACCTAAATGATTTGGAGAATTTAATATCATTTGGATATTATTACAAGGGATTATCTTGTAGGAGCTTTGGCTTGAATGAAACATAATGGTCTTTAACACCAAAGAATGGTCTTTGGAAGAAACTACATTCAGGATATGACAACATCTATAGGATTATAATTCCATTGAATGGAATCAATTAATCATAGTGACGAAGTTCCACCAGAATTCATTTTTGAACACTTTAATGACACATGGGGAAAAAACCAAGACACGTGGCACAAGTTGAACTTTTGCTGAATTATAGTTGCAACTCTTGAAAATTGAAACTAGCAGTTCCGTAAACAGAAAGAGAACTTATAGAGTGTGTGCATGAAATCTATTAGTGGGACCTGTGGTTGGGTCGCTTGGGCCCAGTTTCAGTGAACTATCTGGCACAGATTCCTATACCTCTCTATAGATCCTACACTACAACTTGGACAAAAAAATTGAAAAGAACACATCGGACCAAGTTGATTCATTCAAACCAAGGGCACAAAATTTGAAGAACGATACTGGTAGATATTCTACTTGAAGGTAGATATAGGTGCCACTATGGTGTGAGAATCAGTTCATCCCACCAGTCCAGTCACTAGAGTACAACATTCTCGGAGCACATCAACTGAAGGACTACAGAAGAAAGGGACTTCGCGGTGGAAATCTTGTCCTCTCATATCATTCTAGAAGAATTCAATGTAAATGTACGTAGACAAATCGAGAATCACAAATCCCTATCTCAGTATTGACCACAAGATTATGTACAATTGCGAGTCATGAACCGAAAGATTCGAAGTTATACAAGGGGGCTTTTGGCAGCAGAAACATTCCTTGGTTAACCCAGAAGGAATACTGGTGTAAATATAGCCTCAGTAATGGAACCATGACCCCTTCAATGGAAGTATTTACATAGCTTTAGCGTTAAGGTTTAGCCTTTCAGAATGTTAAAACACTGCTAAAAAGGGCCCGAAGGTGCCTTCCTTGACACACTCAAATTTGGTGCTTTGCATTAAACCTGGGCCAGGCATATTGTACCTTTCCTGAGTTAACTGCACAGTGTACTAGGTACATTACAACTTGACAACCTCTTCCAGAAACAAAGTAGATTTCGATGGGAGCACAAATAACTGCATCTGGTCTGCTGTTGATTCTACATCATGAATGTGAGGTTTGAGACATGCGCGTCTCTGCAATGGCAAGTGCCGATTGCCCCCTCTCCACAAGTGCTTGTAGCGATCGAATACGATCCACCAATGGCCTAGTTTCCTTTTGGGCGGTTGAAATCAACTGGTTCGCTGTTTGAAGCACATTGCTCAACTGGAACAATATTCACCGATAAAAAAACACTCATCAGATTCATGAACGATTCACATAAGAATTTATCAAGTGCGGCAAATAATGTGTTATCAAGAAAAACCAACAGCTCACAATGTGTAACGTAGGAGGCTCTGCGTCCCGCCATACCTCATCATCCTTGGTACGATAACCGTGGCACCAATTTGTGCGAACCAAGTATAGTAAGATAGAGTGGCAGAAAAACACGCTCAGGTTAAGAAAATGTCTTACTCAAAACAAAATTCATATTTCTAAGAAACATTGATTTACAGAAAACAGCACCTAAATCACAACATACAATCCGTTAGTTCATGTGCGTGCACCTGTTCGGAGAAGCCAATCCACTCATTTCCTCCTTCAGACAGTGCCTTAATCAGATCAGCGTAAGCTTTCTGCACAAGGAAGAAGAAGGATGAATTAATAACCCCATGGCGATCTCTGGTCTCAAAACACGTCATACTCCAATTGCGTGTACCAAGCGAGTAATATTTGTCCACATGTACACCAATGACTTCATTTTAGACAATCACAATGTCATAGAAAAAGCTATCCAAGGTCAAAAAAATACTACTCTTGCAAAACCTTTACAAATTAATAACACTCTGAGCGACAGACTCTGCAACAAGAAAGAGTGCATCTGAGCAGTAGTTAAGGAAACAAGTTGACCTCAAAGGCATCCACCAGATTAAGATTTTCGAACTGAGTCGAGCCCGTGCCTGAAGGCCACACAACATTTGAAGAATTACAGGGAGAAGTGGCGCAAGACACACAAACTCATACAACGTTTATTCTTGTACGAGTCAAGTGTCTCTAAAGCATATTGGTGAGATTAGAAGGCGACAACACTGTTTTTTGTCAACTTGTTGAGTGACACGAGAAAACTTAAATCAATTGTTACCAAACTGCAAAACTTTAGTCCTAACCATTCAATTCTGGAAACACTTTGCTGTCCTTGAAAGTGATTGCAAATGGTGAGACCTATAAGAAATTAAGAAATCCTCGATGAAACCCACAAATAACAACAAGGAAAAACATTGTTAAAACCCACAAATAACAACAAGGAAAATAAACGAAGACATCATTTTATCTAAAGCAGAAAAAGGATCATAGGAGTACCTAATCCCCTAGATGGAGACCCCGCCTTGGTTGACAACAGGGGATCACTCAAATAGAACAACCGTCGTAACTGTGCGATTTTTTTCCGCTTAATCGTAGTTGGAGAATCAGGCTCCTCAGCGTCTGGCGGTGGCGCAGGCCGCCGATCTGATAGATCTCGTAACATGTCTCCAAATGATAGTATCGGCTTCCCGGAGGCGGGTACCAGAGCTGCCATTGCCTACACTAGCAAACCATAGTCAGTCTAATCCCTCCACATTCCAATTGTATCGTCACAATTGACACAGAATCAGAGACCCAATCGTAAGTGGACAGTGCAACAATCACAAGAGAGATTTGTGTTTACAAGTATCTGCTTAACCAACACTCCTTCTACAACACCCATTCTCAATCAAAATACCCACAACACGAAAAACCCACAAATTCATTCAAAACCTCTGCGAGAAACTGAAAAAGAATTCGGCAAAAGAAAGAATATGGAGCAGCAACCTTCACATACCTGAGAAACTCAACAGAAATCCACAAACCCTAATTGTGAAAAATCATACAGACCCAATTCAGGTGCTGATTGACAAGCACTGTACAATAGGGCACATGTTTGTTTATGTGCGGGCGCTTGTGCACGTGTTTTTGCAATGGGAGAAATATGTGTGTGGGGGTGTATATATATATATATATATATACAGCCATGGCTGTTCTTGTTGAAAGTCTTGGTCTTAATGAGTTTTTTTTCAATATCTTCATTGCAAAAATTTGCACCACATTGAATTGAATTGAATTGAATTGTATTTTTTTTCTTTTTCTTTTTCTTTTTCTTTCTGTTTGATAATAAATTGGTTAATGTTTTCAAGATTGATGTTGAAGAATGGTACAAATTGACAAATTCACTTGTACTTAGTTGAAGAAAATGTGCAAAAGTTGATGATTGATTTCTTTTTTATTAGTTGAAGGATATATGACCAAATTTTGGAGTTGACACTGTCATTTTTGGCATTTTAAGAGGTGAATGAATGTACAAAATGGTAACCCACTTGCATGCAAGTGTAGAATTTGAGATTATTTTGAAGATTGGCTTAAGTTTGCTTCTTATCAAATATATTTTAAGGACCATTTTCAAAAGATTAATGTTTTTTGATTGAAGCCTAGCATCTCCTTTGCATGATTCAATTTATATAATTTAAAAAATAAATTGTATTTTTTAAAAATAAAGTAATGCTAGGTGGTATATTTAGTTGCTATGGACTTTATTTTTGGTAATCGAAATACTCTAGATCTATTGGTTTAAAAAAAATTATAGTATTTATAATTAAGGGTTTTATTAGATTTAATTTTTGCTAGTTTTACTTGTTTTACTCAATATTGTTGTTGCACCTCAACATCTAATATAATAATTAAAAGTTGTTTAAGAACATGTAATTATTTTATATATGAAACACATGACAATAAGCAATAAAAAATCACATTTGTAAAGGAATTTAAGTATATGTATATATATATATATATATATATATATATATATAATGACTATAACTCAAACTTTGAAATTTGTTAAAAAAATATTAAAAATATAAATCCATATAACAATTAATGAATTAGGTTGATTGTTCATTCAATTTAAATAAATAAAAAATTATTCAAATTCTCCTAAACAAGTAAATTAAATTAAATTCCATTTAAAAAAAATCTCAACTTTGCTGAAATTGTTTTGTATGTTTGTTTTGAAGCTATTAATTGGCACTTGTATACATATTTAAATTAAAACAATACAAACTACAAATATAAAACTCAAATTATAATAATCAAATCATAACAATCTAGGCTTGAAGTGGGATTAGAAATATTTTGAGTTTTAACAATTAGTTAAGATATATTTGCATTGTCAATGATAGAAAACCAAGTGTTCCCAATTAGCAAGCTCCCAATCTTACAACAAAATCTTAAAAGTCATTTGCAAACAAATTTATTTTATGCAGCTACTCTAAAGTTTTGTATCAATGGGGTCTATCCAAAAACTAAGACAAACCTAACTAGCTATTTTTTTAGTAGTGGAGAGCAACCGAACTTTCTCTTTGCCGAATTCAAGAGTTTCTTGATCACCATCATCATAGTCCACACAGAATTGTGTAGAAAATACAGCCACTATGGTACCTTTGTACCTGAAAAACTCAAACAAATAATGTGTTGACTAATTAGAATAAATTTAGTGTAGAAAAAATGGTGCCAGTACTGTTGGGCGAGAATGGAAATAAAATTATAACCTTTCTATGCGACAATGAACAATGACGCACTAGATCTAAACCTTGAACTAGCTAAGCATGCATCAAGATACCAACACTTGATGATTTAAACATCTAAACCAAAATCTAACCATGTAAAAACACATACCAAATATTGTCAATGGGCCAAAAAACTTCAACACGCTTTGAAATTGCATCTGTGCCTAGACGTTGTAAAATCCAACTGTCGTCATCGGTGGCATCTCCAATCGCAAGTCGCCTTTGTGTGGAACCTTCGGCATTTCTTTGTGGTGTTGCAGTGCGCTTTTTCTTCGAAGTCTGATGGGCCTTTATTGCTAACTCTCCATCATGTTCACTTGCCTTGTTATCTTTGCTTGTTGTAGGTATGACAACCTCCCTAGCAGGTTGTTTCTTAATTTTTAATCGTAAACGCCTTGTAACGGGACTATCACTTCCTGGAGAGCTATGCAAGAGCAAACCTTCTGACTTCTTCTCTGGTAAATCCGTCACTTTAAGTCGCTTTCGAGGAGCCTCTGAAAGATCATCATTATCAATATTGTCTTCTACATCACGTGACTTTTCTTGGTGCACTGTTTGAAAATCTGTAGACGGTATTATTGAATTGTGAGGAAGAATTTGACGAACAAAAGAGAGCCCATATTGCAATGTTGAGCAATGACGACTCTTACATTAAACTTAAGCCCGAGGATTTTCCATGTTCTTTACACAAAAAAACCTGTACACATTTAAAGAGATCATAAAGATAATTCAAATTGCATCTGTAATACCGGGAACAGATGAAATGATTTGAGCGAGTGTGTTACCTTCAGAAGTTTGCACTTTGTTAGAAGTTTGAGCAATCTCTGGTACAGGATTTTGTGCAGAGGAAAGATCCTTATTCATGCGTCCATGACGCCACGCACTAGTGTCCATATCACGATATTTAGAGCTTGGTATACGCCGCCTCCGGACACTATCAGAGTGTCCAACCCAATGCAATGGAGAACTACCTGTTGATTCACAATGCAATATTCAAAAAATTAATAAGAGCTAAACGACTATACAGCGACATTTGCTACAACCAAAACTGAAAATTACTTTTTAAATCAATAAAAGAATAAAAAAGAGAGATGAAATTTGTGAAGTAATGCAAGTTGAACCCACATTGGCCTGGTTGAGACTCTTGAGCATCCTCAGAGTTATCTGTAGCACCAACTTCAAGTTGAGGCTCCAGCCTGCTGGCTGCTTCTAAGCATAACCACCATGACCCCATTGTAAGTTAAAACCAAGAACTTATTTGTGAAGGTTCTACTAAACAAAGACACCTCCACACGTGCCAGACGCATGCTAGTCTCCTTTTTGCATATGTTAAATGTAAAAGTTATGAATGTTGATCCTCTAGCCCCCCTTAAATTTCAGTCAATAAAAATTTCAAACAAAACTACAATAAGTTGTCAGATTCCACACCTTGTTATCAAATAATTCATTTTTTTAGAGCAATAGTAGAATCAACAACTTGTTTGTAATTTTCTGTATAACATTTAAGAGATAAAATAATAATTATTAAAATATAATGTTATATGTATCCATATGAGTGGTATATGACAGCCATATTCATGTCGCATGGAAATATTTAGAGCAGATTAATCGCTTTTAGATATTAAAATATTGGATAACATCGCTTTCGTGCTTTCCTCTAAAAACCAATTACTCAAACATCATCATATTTAAACTACATGAATTTTCAATGAACTCATCCCAAATCTTATATTAATGTGGAACAAGGAGTAGTCAAGATGGCACTAGTCAAACTTTATCTGATGAGTTATCAATTCCAAAACCCTCTTTCGTTAAATTTCTTAGTATAAGCGATACCTTTCAACATACAGTAGCAATCTACAGTAGCAATATACATACAACTTCATTTTTTTTTTTCTTTTTTAGTTTTAATTAGATATAGTATATACAAACAAACGTGATTTTGGTTTGCAAATACAGTGATGACTAAGAAGTTTGGTTCCTTCATGTTGTAATCTTTAATCCCATGTTTTCTTATGTAATTAACTGTTCTCAATAAGTGTTACAAACTTACAACTCTATACGATTGTTGTGACTCTTTATCTATTATGAGAATTCTTTACTCCCGCACATTGCGAAGGTTTACATTTACTAAGGTCATGGAAAGGCTAAAACGGCAAGATGCACGCTTGGTATGCATTCGAGTACCTTCAATCCTTGCCAACTTTGAATCGAGGTCGGCCTCTATCCTTGCCACTTTGATAGATGCGCGTTCTCTTGTACTCTTGCCATTAAATACATGAAAACCTTCTTGCGCCAAAGGTATCTCGGTGCTAGTAGTTGGAACTTCGCTTTTATCTTCTCTACCAGCGACCTCTTGACCATTTGATATTTTCACCTTCTTAGCCTTCCCTGAATCATCCTGTATAGTAAGATTCTTGGCACTGTCCAGATCACCAGCTTTTGAACTCCGTCTCCTTTTGGTGGAGGAGCTTTTCTCCTTTGAACTGTCGCTCTTCCTCTTCTTATCTTTGAGAGACTCCAACCCAATGTGAACATCAGGGGGAGGAACCATTTTCTTCATCTCATCTGCGTCCTTGTCCTCAGCACTTAAGGTGGACACAAGATCTTTGTTTGGGAGTGTCTTCTCTAGTCCATCTCCACCTACGCCAAAACACTCCAATGTGAGCTCATTAATTGATCAAGAACCACCACTCCAGGCAGACGAGGAAGAAACAATCTCGAGCTCCAAGTCATAAAAAACGCCAGCCTCTAGTATTTGAGAAGAATCAACATCTTACTAGTGGAACCCTTCTTGAACTTCTTCGTGAGGATAGTGGTTTTTTTTGAATCTACAGCTGACAGAGTAAGGATCGGTTTGTCAGACACTCCATCCACTTTACTTGGTGTACTCTTGGGTTTTGAGCCATCTTTGATTGCTGCCCTTTTTGGCGTTTTATTGTTCTTAGTCAGACTCTCAGTTCCAAGTGGCGCCTTCTTTACTTTCTTCTTGGCTGATCTTTTCGAAGCTTCTTCTACTTCACTACTATCACGCTCACGATCCTCTTCGTCAGAAGATGGATAAGCCTTCAATATTTCCTCTGGAGACGGTAAACCTGCAGCAGCTCGAATTTCTGCTATTTGTGTAGCATCTCTGATATCCTTTCTTCTCCAAATCTCTACTGCAGCATCGTCTAAATCTGCGACCTAAACGTTTATAATTATAAATTAAAAGTTATAACATCCACGTCTTTGCAGGTAAAAAAACAAATAAGCATGATTCACATGATAGCATATGCAATTAAACAGATTTTTATCAAAGTATTTTGACAAAAGCTAATGTCTAGTAATGATGATTTGGTTATATCTTCTAGTAAGGCCGAACATATTAGACAGAGAGAACAAACCTTGTAACATTCACCCCGACAAGAAGCACATTTGTAACGAAGTTGAGAATTCACTTGAAATTCTTGGTACTTTTCATCACTGTCAGCATACAAAAGCAAGGATAATTATTTGTTTGGATCCAGCACCTACATATGCTGGCCTTTACAAAGGCCACACTCAAATTCTAAGAGCCACCAACAGGATAATAACAATAACAGTTGACACTACTCGCTTGATGGAAAGTTACGACGATCCACACCAAATACTTTTAGAGATATGATGTGATGGCCCCTTGGCAATGCATTCCTATTGTCTTCATAATAACATAACAGCTTAGATTGAAAATCACCAGGCAAACCAGTTCTAATGCTAGTCATAGTGATAAGTGAAATAGATTAAGTAAAGCACAAAAAGAGAATATTTCACCTGATCCCATCACACTCACAGTGTACCCAATGTTCACAAACATCACAACAGACCATAGGTGCTGGTTCTGAATCCCGGTAAACCTGTTCACAGAAAGTACACCGTCATAATCAGTTTATAATGAGTATCAGAGACATTTTTGCTGATGCGTGTACCATAAGCCATGCACAAACACGATTAGTCTCACAATTTTGGTGTCATGTGCCCATTGCTGTAGCACATAAGAAGTGATAAAAGTAAGAACCTAAGTACTAACTATTCTCTTTTCTCTTCCATGCGGGTGCAGGGTAAGTAAGAGTACAACGGAATATCACACAGATATTGCCAAGAAAAGGTTTCATCTGGACAGAAAGTTAGCAAACAAAACAGTACACAATTAACAATCACGAAGACGTCAAAAAATTAAACTATCGTCTCATTAGCACTCGGAAAGCAGAGCCTGCCAAACACTGAACTTATTCTCACTCAAGGCCCACCTAAGAGGTTGGCCAGAGAGCTTCATTGAGAAGCTCACCTTTAAGCAAATCGGGCAATATTTTCCTCTTGTAAAGAGTCTTCCACATGCATCGCATAAGGAATAAGACAAGAACCACCTGGCACATCACAAGCCAGCCAAATGAGGTTCTAAAAATGGTGCAATGCTCCATACCACAGTAGTAAACCATGCTATGGAGAACACACTCGATTATCAGAATCAGAAGTGAGCATTCTGCCTAGGACGTCCAATTCATGTTGAGGTAACACCTATGGGAAAATCTATGAGCTCTGAGCTACTTCATAATGCGAGTGCTAGAAAGAGCGTGTGAGAAATCTAATTAATAGCTCACTTAGAACTCACGCCGCCTCCAGGCACGGTGGTGTTGCAACTTGTGCATCGGACATGTTTGGGGCAAACAAAGGGCCCTTTTGGGACATGCTGCAATCACCAATGTGAGTGAGAATGAGATTAAAATCATACCTTGACAGCTTGAGTAGAATACCATTCATAATGTGAAGCGAGGAAGATAACTCAGCATTAGAGCAAACGTACTCTTGCTTTCCTAGAGCGATTTAGTTGTTTTTAGTAACAAAGATATAAATACAAAGAAAGATCGAGAAGTTTTTCGCACCATAATACCTTGAGAGGAGGGTGCAAGCAACTGGAATGGTATGCATGATCACATCTCTTACAGAACATTAACTTGTTTGAGTCTCCTGATCGCAAACAAACCTGCGGAAAGGGTTGATCGCGAACAAACCCGCAGGGTTTATCAAGACAAATTGCAAGATAACTAGCAACCACATTTCATAAAAAAAAAAAAATGATACTAAGTAAGGACAGAGCATAATGATTTCACCTCGCAAGAATGTGGCCAAGAACAAATAACCAACAGTCAACGGATGTAGAACGTAAAAACGTAAAAACGCCACAATAACAGTTATTTACCCCGTTCACAATATCCAAAAGCCAGTCTCCATGCTCACCTCACAGACGCGACAGGAACCACACATCCATGAAGCCCAGTTGAATAGATCTGACAGCCAAACCACACAAAGAACAAATTATGGATCCTCTAAAAGGATAACTCTAAACGAAAAATACTAAATGTGTGAGGATAAATACACAAGGATAATAACTCTATATTTATCGCTTAAGAGCGTTTCGAAAATGGCGTATATTACTAGAACGATTCTACAAACAACACACGGCTCACCCCTATGTTCAGCCCAATACTTAGTGCATTTGCGGTGATATTGTTTCCTACATGCCTGGCATGATAACATGCGCCCTGCCTTATCACTGCCAATAGCTTCACCACAACCGCAAAGTCCACACACAACCTGTGGGAACAATGACTCGAAATGCCCCTCCTCATTGAATTCTTCATCTGAGCCACCACGTACTGGCATTCCAGCCCGTTCTCGGTCCGCCCAACCATTGGCTGATGCCTCTCTAGATGCATGCTGCCGCACTTGTTGTCAGGATAAATTTGTGAGGACGACTTGAAAGTAAGGAGGTGTTACGCATAAATAACGCCATAAGAATCAAACATATTTGAACACAAGTGGAGTTGAAAATCAGTTTTTAAAATAAATAAAAATAGGCCCGCTTAAGCCTCAACACAGCGACAGTACCTTTCACACAATTTGAATTGTGAAAGTAAGAGCGTACCTGTCGCGATGCATACTTAGCAGCTTCAAGCTTCTTACTGTGGCTGCCTTTTATAGAAGAGTCTGCCGGACCAACTATGGAAAATGTCGCCTTTCTACGAGTGCCAGCGCGTTTAGTTACGCCATCATCCCCACTATCATCAAGTTGCTCAATCGTTGGCTCCTCTAAGTTCTTCTTAGGTTGGTTGGGCAAGGGTGGAACCGTAATTTCAACGTACTCCGGACCTCCGCCAAGCATAAGACGAGGATTTGAGACAAGCTTCTGCAGGGCTGCTGTTCTTCGCAGAAACTCATTCTGACCGCTCTGTGCCCGCAGCGGCGCCGGCGTCCCCAAAGTGCAGTAACATATTTTTCGACTGCAACACAGACGAAGCAACAAAAACGGCTACTCGTGTTGGAAATTCTTATCATGTTGCAGAGCCTTTTACAAAGATGATATCTGCTAGTTACTAATTGCTTTTCCACCGCGCATTATAAAAACTCGTTCAATTGTATGTTGTATCAAAACAGAATAAACCACATCTATAATTAACAAAAAAAAAAAAAAAAAAAAAAAAAAAAAAAAAAAAAAAAAACATTCGATTATCCACTACAAAACATGCCTCATTACTGAAGCCTAAAAACAACAATGCGAGAGACCGTCACTACGAAACTATGAAAAATTGTCGAAACGGCAACCGATCCTAGGTATGCATTACATCCTGTCCACACAAAGCCACTGTTCGCAACTCGTTTCCTCATTACATGGACCTAAGAAACATCGACAAACCTAACCTAACCACACAGTCCTACGCTCCCACGCGAAAATTCAATCAAAGCGCGGTGGACACTCACCACGTAAACAGGCAAGCCGTGTGAAACGCCATTATTCTTGCCACTAGCGACTTGCCCTTCACCGACTTGCCATCAGCTTACGACTTCAACTCCTCCTTCGCAAAAACTCACACCAATGCACCATGCAACGATCGTCCAGGGAATAGCGCGTCAAACCTTTGTGGCCACGAAAACAATAAAATCAAATCACAAAACCTCTCAAGCTCCACCCGAACGATCACCCTCGCAGCAGAAGCTCTACCTACGCTCACAAATCACAATTGATACAGGGTGTTGTAAAACCTAATTAAGGTCACGTAACTAACTACATGTGATGGAAACACGGCTTAACAGATGCTGTGGTGTGGTGCGATCTCTGATAAGTAAAGAAGGGATTCCTGCAACTCACATCGATGTGATTCAGTTCTTCTTCTTCTTCTTCTTCCTGTTCGCGAATTACCACATTTAATAATATAAATACGAGAGAGTGACTCCCCCTCCCCGCTCCGAAGTAGTCGTAGTGGTGGAACGAGCGAGCTCTGATCCGGGCAGCACGAAATTTCTTCCCCTTCTGCCCCTGCCCCAAGCGTTGTTTAGTAAATTATTTAGTAATGGCGAATAATATATTCACGAAGAAATGGAGAGAAAAAGAAGCTAGGCTTGGGTATTGTTTTTTTTTAATATCTTTGGTATGAATAGATATTTTATAGTGTTGTTTTTCTTGTGTGAAGGGTAGTGGAAGAAGACAATGGATTGAAGAACTTTTTTTGAGGAGAATTTATTAGTATATTGGATCATGTTCCTTCCTAATACAACGAAATATTAGTGGATTAAGAGTTTGGAAGTGATCAACTTATGTTTAGCAAAGTATGAATGTTCTATAACATGGGTTTTCATTCTTTAATAAAAATAAAAAGATATGCACCAATAGTAATATATGTTTTTTGTTTTGTTTTGTTATTAAATGTCTTAAGTTTTGTTTTTTATACTTTTTTATTTCTGATAATTGGTTTCTTAAAACATTTTAAAAAGGGGTTTATTACACCAACTTTAAGGAAGAAGAAAAATAATTTTTTGTTGCATGTAAAAACATGTGAACGATTTTATATCCTACAAGATATAAATATTATTAATTCTTTAGAAACACCTTTGAAATTGTGGAAAAAATTAATTAAAAAGAAATAAAAACTTAAAAATCAAAACTAAAATAATGATTAGATGATCATCAAATAATTTAAATAGATATTATTTTGGTTTAATTAAATACCAAATTGGACTATATAAAATATTTTGACGTGGTGTTTAAAAAATAACAAAATATTTTTTTTTTAATAAGTAGAAGAATGAATTAAAAAAAATAAAATAAGATTCATTGATAATATTTTATTTGATGAAAAGAGAATGTGATATATATATATATACAGTAAATAGCATAAAACAATTAAATAATAAAACAACTATTGTGTAATTTAATAAAAAAAAAAAATCATATCCAGATTAGATTGATGTTGATGTAAATGCTAAAAATATTCCTTTGTAATATTACATTAGTTGATAATAAGCAATATCATTTAGTCTTGTATAAAATTAAAGTGCATATACTTAGAATTGAAAAAAACTCCTATAAATTTTGACAAAAGAAAAAAAAAAATAAAGAACCAAGACATAAAATAAAGCTTTTAATCAATCTAAAACAAGAAAGAATTTAAGAAATTAAATTAAAAAATTACATATTCAGATACAAGCAAACCTAAGTCTATGTATAAAATATTAATCATAGACTATTACTATCAAAAAAATTAAAATCATACTTTTATTTATTGTTAGATGTGCAAGAAAAAAAATCCTAGAATTTCAATCAATAAGGAAATATTTACTAATCATAATTTATAAAAACATATTTTTCATATGATTATTAAATTAAAAAAATAGATATTTCTTACTAAAAGCAAAAAAAATTCAAGCACCTATTGATGATTTCATCAAAACCAGGTTATAACATTATTATAAATTTTATTGTAAACCTTCCTAAATTCCAGTACTACAACATTATTCTGGTCATTTATAACCTCTTTAGCGAATTGAATCAAATTTCTATTCCAGAAATCATAAAACCTCCAAAATTACAAAAATCAATATTGATAAGTAGTGAAAATATTATAAATCATTTAGAATTATTGCATCGCATTCAAATTTATACTTTACTGTAAAAACTTATATATAAAAAAAGTAAAAATTGCACCAAGGAATATATAAGATACTAACATTAAAATATTATCCATGTACATCTTGGTTTTCATTATGTCTATTCTTGCCAATAAGCTTTTAAAGTATTTGAATGTTGCAAAATAACTTTTCATATAAACCTAAGAGAGATGAATAAAATTCCATTATTATGATACTACACCAATCAAATTTTGTCATTACCCATCCATTTAATGCACAAGTCAACAAATTAAAACATATCTAAAAAATATTTAATGATCTAAGATTCAAAAAGTTGTATACAATTGATCTTATTAAGATTTGAAATGTAAACAATAAATAAGTAAATATTCATATAGTTATATAGATAGAAGGCATTGCTATTGCTACCTTCATTCAAAACATTTCAAATCAATCATATTTTCTTTGTTCAACACCTTTAAATTATTAGATTGAACAATTTTTTTTTATTAATTTTTTTAAAAAAAAATAATAAAAATATTGAATTGGTGGCAAGTTGTGGTGGCAATAACAAAAACTAAGATGAAATTAGATATATATATATATATATATATATATATATATATATATATTACAACAACCTTATCTTTGTATTGATTATTATTAAAAATATTCTTTAAATAATTAGACTTTAATATTAAAGAAATACAACAAGCAAGATATAAGTAAATAGAAATAAAAAATTTTACACACAAGAGAAGTATAGAATGAGATGCCTCTCACTTCCAACACCTTTTACTTATAGGAGGAATTTGCATCTATTGTATTTGAACTTCATCGATAACCATCTTCATCCTTCTTTCCTTCATCCAACTAAATCTTTAATTTTTCTTAACCTAGCTACGACTTAAAATCCTAGGCCACTACATTAATAACTTATCTTCATCATTTTGCTATTCTTTGACCATTAACAACTTATATAAGCTAATATCTTTTACATAATATCTTATTACTACTTTAATACTCTTACTTTACTATTGATTAAAGACTTTTAAACATAATATCTTTTTTAGCTTCTAATCCCTATCTTTTACTTGTACTTTTGTTAGCAAATTAGCAAGCATATCTTTCATTGTAAAATATTTCATGTCAATTACTTCCATTTCAATTTTTTTTCTTGTGGAGTAATGTTGAATGTCAATGAACTTAGCTCTTGATTGATGCTTTAGATTCTTTACAAAAGCAAGACATCTTTGGTTACTATACTTCATTGAAGTTGCTTCTAATTGCATAAGTTTAATATCTTCTAAAACTTGTTTTAACCAAATTGCATCCATTGCACCATGACTTACTACCATACATTTTGTTTTTATTGTCGACCTTGCCATTGTTGGTTGTTTTTTGCAATTTCATGAAATTGCTCCCATTCCAACAAAAAACACATATGCCATTGTTGTCCTTCTATCATTTGCATCTACACTCCAATCCACATGACAATAACCATGTAATGTAATATTATTTTGTCCAAGTAACAACTTGAAGTTCCAAGTGCCTTTCAAGTACCTCATAATCTTCTTAATGGTTGTCTAATAGATTGGTCTAGCTTTTTCCATGTGCTGACTCACATCACTTACCACATATGCAAGTTCTATTCTTATGCCAACTATTGGATACATAATTGAGCCTATTGTTGCTTTGTATGAAACATCTTTCATTTCATCTTCAACTTCATCAACTTCAAATTCTAATGGACTTCTACTCATCCATGTTGAATTGTTTTAATAATTCTTCAATGTACTTGATTTGGTTCATTGTAATAATCTTGTTACCATAATTTCTTATGAATTCTATTCCTAAATAATAGTAGAACTCTTTCAAATCACTCATCTCATATTCTTTCTTTAACTTTGCTTTCAACCAATATATCTTTTTTTATAGTATTACTCAATATGATTAAATCATCAACATAGAAGATGATAATCAATATGAACTCGTTTGATTTCATTATATATAAGAAATGATCAGCCTCACTCCTTACAAATCTTTTATGCATAAAGAATGTATCAATATGTTAGTATCATATTCTTACTGATTATTTTAATCTATACAAGGATATTTTCAACTTACAAATAAGGTATTGTTTGTCTTTTTCAACAAATCCTTAAATTTGATCCATATAAATATCTTCTTCCAACTTTTTATTTTAAAAAACTATTTTTACATCTATTTAATGCATCTCAAAATCCATTAATGCCTCAATTGGCACAATGGTTCTAATGGTGGTGAATTTGGCCATATAAACAAATACCTCATTGAAATCAATAACAACAATTTGTAAGTGACTTTTGGCAATTAATCTTGTCTTATATCTCATAATTTTATCTATTGTATCTCTTTTGGTTCTAAACACTCACTTACAATCAATTTGAAGATCAATTTGGTAGAAGTTGAGTCCATTCCCATGTTCTATTGTCTATGAGTGATTTTTCTTCTTTTTCTATGGTCTTCTTTTACTTCATAGCATTTGTAGCCTTTATTATATTACACAAATTCATAAAATCAACAAAAAATATAACATTAGCATATTCTTCACTTACTTGAAGAAAGATGTGGTTCTTCTACCATTCACCATGATATCTTCTTTTTCTCAAAGGATATCTCCTTTCATTTGAAGAAGATTCATCTTGTTGTACTCTATGCTCTCTTCCAAGCTTCTTCTCACTTAAAACTTGTCTTTTCTCATTCAAAGATTGGTACTCCTCATCATCATCAATATCTTTAATATCTTTATTATTGGTTCTAAGAATTGTAGAGACCTTTTTCTTCATCTTTTATGCCTCTTCATCTTCATTCATACCTCGACCATCTTCATTATCTTTATATTTTTTTATGTTTTTATATTTTTATATTTTTATGTTTTTATGTTATATATATATATATATATATATATATATATATTTTGAATTTAAAAATATGTCCACAAATATACCATTATTCCTACTTAGACATATTTTCAAGTGCTTATAAGCATTCTTATGCTCCAAAAAGTCAACATCATGACTTTTGATGATCTTCTTGATATCCAAACACATTATCTTATAGGCTCATGGACATACATTGGAAGATTCTTCGAATATTCTTCTAGAATATTCTCTAAAGATTCCTTTAGAAGGTTCTAGAAGATTCTTAGAATATTCCCTAAAGATTCTCTTAGAAGATTCTAGAATATTCTGATAG